ACAAAATATAAATAAGCAAATGTACCAGACACACACACATATATTGTGCTTCATGTATAAATTGTCTCCAGCTTTTTAAAACTCACATTCAAGTGTGAACTTGTTACCACATCTGTATGGACAGTCATTGCAGCCTTGTGTTTAGGAAAAATAATAAAAGCAACCTAAATCTGAATGTCCAGCATTAAGGGAATGGTCAAAAAAATTAAAGCTCTTTTGTTGATTTGTAAGGGCTTTTGATATAGCCTTGATATATAACACGTATTATATATAGATATGTATATATGTGTGTGTGTGTGTGTGTGTGTGTATATATATATATAGTGTCTGTCATATTTCTCATACATTTCCTTCATTGTTATTTATATTTAATTTTGCTTAGAGTGAAGTATGATGAAGGAAATTTAAACTTTCCATGCAGTTAAAACTAGGCTCTTTTCCCTATGGCTTTTCCCATTTCTTTTGTCCCTAGAATGTCCTTCTTCAACTAGGCATTCTTATATTAGACTTTACTTATCCAGTCTTTCACAGATACAATTTTCACAATGAACTCTAACCCAAGTTGAATTTAGTATGCTATAAGGTGAAAGGTGAGGCTCTAACTAACCTTGGTTTCTTCCCAGCATCAATCACTAAATAATCCTCTTTTCCCTGCTGATCTGGTATATATGTATCTATATATCTTATACAACAATTTGGATATCTTAAGGTCTATTTCTGAAATTCATCCTGTATTTCAATCTATTATCTAGAACCACTCTATCTTGAGAAATGTTATGGTATATTTTTATATCTTGAATTTTAAATTCATCTTTATTATTATTCTTTTAAAAGTAATACTTGGCTGCTCTAAGTGGATAGCTCAGTTGGTTGGAGCATCATTCTGATGCGCCAAGGTTGTGAGTTTGATCCATGGTCAGGGCACATAAAAGTCAACCAATGGTGCATAAATGGGTAGAACAATTCAATGTCTGTCTGTCTGTCTGTCTGTCTGTCTGTCTCTCTCTCCCCCCCCCTTCCCTCTGTCCTTCCCTTCCTCTCTCTAAAATCAATAATTAAAAATTATTTAAAAATATATAAAAATTGCCGAAACCGGTTTGGCTCAGTGGATAGAGCGTCGGCCTGCGGACTGAAAGGTCCCAGGTTCGATTCTGGTCAAGGGCATGTACCTGGGTTGCGGGCACATCCCCAGTGGGGGTGTGCAGTAGGCAGCTGATCGATGTCTCTCTCTCTCATCGATGTTTCTGGCTCTCTATCTCTCTCCCTTCCTCTCTGTGAAAAATCAATAAAATATATTTAAAAAATATATATATATAAAAATTAAAGTAATACTTGGCTATTCCAGCCTGTTCATTACTTCAGATCAATTTTAGAATCATTTTGATATCTTTCCCCCAAAAAGCTCACTGCATTTTGACTGTAAATGAATTATAAATATGAATTAATTCAGAAAGGTTTATATACAGTATATATATGTGTGTTTATATCCATATATGTGTATGGATATTTATATAGTAAATGCAATATTCATTCTTTCTGTTATGACCATAAAACTGTGATCTATAAAAACCAGACAAGAAAGTAAAATATGTAAAAGAGTTAATATATGCCCTAACCGGTTTGGCTCAATGGATAGAGCGTCGGCCTGTGGACTCAAGGGTCCCAGGTTCGATTCCGGTCAAGGGCATGTACCTTGGTTGCGGGCACATACCCAGTAGGGAGTGTGCAGGAGGCAGCTGATCGATGTGTCTCTCTCATCGATGTTTCTAACTCTCTATCCCTCTCCCTTCCTCTCTGTAAAAAATCAATAAAATATATTTTTTTTAAAAAGAGTTAATATAATTCTAACTAGACAACAAAGTGATTAGCAGCAAAACAGGTTGGTGGTGCAAAAAGACCATCGTGCACTAAGATTTTGAAATTCCTCTAAAAGAAACCAAGGCCCCCAGGACATTGTGATGCACTGGGTTGTGAAAATAAATTTCAGCTGAAGCTTGAAGGCTTAAAAGTCTCCTACTGACAAGAGCAGGCAAGGTCTCACGATAAGAGAATCTGCAAGGTAACTGATGGGATGCAGGAAGGTCATCCTAGAAGTGGCAACCAGGTCCTATCCCTACTGAGGCACTAATTTAAAAATGTAACCTTATCCTGGCCCAAATTTTAGACACTGTAACTTCAGTCCACCTATGTGGTAAAACTGCTTCTCTTAAATTGTTTAAGTGACTTTGCAGGCCTGAGAAGTTATAGATATAATACAAGGAAATAAAGTAAATCAAACCTACAGCATATTAACACTTAGATTTTGCATTTTTATAATCATCATAACTGATACTACTTGTTACTAAGTCATGTGAAACATTTACATCAGTTACATTTAAGAGAATCAGTCATTAATGAATAACGTCAGACTTACAATTTTAATTTGAAATAAGTTTCAAAGTGTACATTTAAAAGAACCTGACTTCATTTACACACTTATTTGACTTACAAGACTTAAGTCCTTGAAAAGATTTTACTATTAGGTTTAGAAGTTCACTGTTCTAGAAATTTGAAGTATTGCAGAGACTAAGTATATAAAACTTTAAATGCGATTTAAAACATTTAAAGGAATTTATCTTTGTAAAAAGAGCTCATTGTTTAGGAGAATTTAATTTGTTAAACTGGTGCCTTAATTGAAGCTTCGCAGATGAAGAATGTTATATAAACATTCTTATATTTGTAAATAAAACCAGATTTATCAGTAAAACGTATAGTCTTAAGAAAAGCTAAGTGTTTAAATACATGTATACCTCGGAGATATTGCAGGTTCAGTTCCAGACTACCACAGTAAAGCGAGCTGTAATCTTTTTGCTGGTGGAGGGTCTTGCCTTCAATTTGTAAAAAACGCAACATCTGTGAAGGGCAATAAAGTGAAGTGCAATAAAACAAGGTATGCCTGTACTCACCTTAAATAGCTAAATCTTATTCTAAGTAAAAGCACAGTATTCTACAAAAAAAAAAAAATCCCTCTTAAAAAACTAATGTTATCCAAGAAATGTTAGCCTCCTTTTGTTATTTCAGGTTATTCCCAGGAATGATGTAATTTTTGCTGTACATTCTCTTAATCACTATATTTTCAAATTGGTCATTGGTGAAACACAGAAAAACTGAATTCTGTGTGCTAAATTAGTAATTACTAATTACAAAATTAGTAATTAGATTTTGTAATTACGATTTTGTAATTAGTCTCTTTACTAAACTCTTATTTTAATGGTTTCCCTCTTCATTTAAAAATAGGCTATCCTGTCATCCACAGAAATGAGAATGTTGTCTTCTTCTTTCTGAAAAATTATGTTTTTGTTTCATGTCTTATTGCATTGGCTAAAACTTCCAAGATAGTACTAGACAATACATTCTTTGCCCTGTTCCTGACTCTAACAGAAATGCCTCTAATCCCAAAGTAATGTTAACTTAAAATTCATATTGTTATCAAGTCATTAAAATATCCCTCCATTCCTCAAGAGTTTTAAAATCAGAAACTTGTGTTGAATCCTAGGGAATTATTTCCTGGAATCAAAACAAAACAGTAAATGGCAGTTCCTGTAACTGACAGTGCTTTAGGGAAACTGAGCTCCGCTGAAAAGCCAGGCTGTGCACAAGCCAGTTCGCTAACCCCCGCGCCTCTGACACCCAAGTCTCCACACGAAAATCGCCTCCGGGAGCCCTGGGCCGCCACCTTCTCAGGAGGCGGCCACCCAGGAAACGTCTAGGTTCTAGGTTACGTCAACCCTTGACTTAGAATCTTCGGAGTCTGCAACTGGGAATGGGACCTTTCTAAAATTTATTCTTTTCTATCTGCAATTTGACGTTTGGGCTGTCGCTGTGCTGAACTGTTTCCAGTTCCCACTCAACAGCTTAAGTTTCCACGTATTGACACTACGACTGGCATCTGCCTTCCGGTTGTCACAACCACCGGCTCCCAACTTCTCCAAAAGTGTCAAACTACAGCTCGGCTTGTGTGAGAGCCCGGTCCCGACAAAGACACGCACCTTTGTCCCCGGCGCGACGCAGGCTACGGACCCACGGGCCGCGTTCGTCCCCCCGCGACCGTCCTCATGCCGGCCCGGGAGCCCCCGACGGCGGGCTGCTAGCGGCCGGCCCCCCGAACCATGCCTCCCGGAGGTCGACCGGCCTGCGCCGCGGCCCCATGGCCGGGTCCCGGAGCGCCCGGGGAACCTCGCCGCCCGGGCCGGCTTGCTGGGAAGGAGGAAAGGGAGAGGCCCCAACCTCGAGTTCTAACAACTCTGGGACCTCGGGGCTTGTTGGACTGTGAGCCATTTGAAGACTTTGCAGAGCGGAACGAAGAGGTCGGGAGGGGGCCCACGCCCCGCATACGGCAAGCCGTTTATAAAGACGTACTCAGAAAGAACCGGGTTCGCCCCCCAAGAGGAAGACCAATTTAGAAGCTCTTTCGTCCCCGGGGCCCCGGGAA